GATGTAAACAATATTAACACATAATCACAATGTTTTTTGTAATTAACTTGAATGTAAGTTAATTACAAAAACATCATCTAAACATCATCTACATCATCTAAGCAAACACTTTGATGATGTTAGTGCCCTAATTCAAACAGCTGACAACAAATTCTTTTTTGTTGTGCTTACTGAAACGTGGTTAAAAGATGATACTACTCAACTCTTCAACTTATGAAACTACTCAGCATTTCACAACTGTCGACCTATTCAGAGAGGTGGTGGTACTGCTCTTTACTACCACCAAGAACTGACATGCTTAAAAAGTAATTAAAACTAGAGACTCCTGTATAGAGTTTATCTTTGCTTGCTTCAGAGTCAAGTGTGGCGAGGCTGTCCTGACTGTGGGAGCAGTCTACAGAATTCCTAATACTGATGTGTCTGAATTCAACTCTAACCTCAGAAATCCAATGCTAAATAACAGACTGAACAAAAATCATCTAATTATCTCAGGGGATTTTAATATTGACTTCTGCGAGCCTGATAACCCTCCTGCTGCTAGTTTCCTCAACTGTATGAATTCCTGCCTCCTCATACCCTTAATCACTAGACCTACTAGAATCACTAGTACTGATAGTACTGCCTCTACTTTTGACCACATCTGGACTAATATAACCTCTCCACTTCAGGGATAATCATTGATAGGACCACAGACCATTACCCCACATTTCTCCTAACCAACATTAATAAACCACCTCAGAAACAAGGAACTTAAGTTTTAGGCTGCACAATGAAACTAGTTAGTTTAGTTTAGTTCATTTATTATGCACCCCATACCCATCTTGTGGGCGGTAGTAGAAAGGGTTACAGAGGCACATAATGGGCTCAGGGACTGAACCCCACAATTCATTTAGCTAAGCAAGTTACAATCTTGATGAGCTAGTTACAAAATTCAATATAAGTCGTCACATCAACAATGGGTTCGAGATCGACCTCAAGTACAGGTTCTAAATTAAGCAACTGACATATGTGGAGAGTTAGTGTCAAAATTTATGTTTGTCCTGCACACACCGCCCCCCCCATCCAGTGGGCAGCGGTGGATAGGTTACAGTCACGGTTACTACCTACAGTTAGCAAACTGGGGATATTTGGCTAAAATTTCTGGTAGCAGATCATTTTGAATGATATATTTACACATCGCTGGAACATTGGTTACAGAATTGTCTCTAAATTCACATATCTTTTCGCACTCCATCACATAGTGACGGAGGGTGTGCGAATAATTTTGTTGACACAGTTTACTTGTAACCGAGTTTAAGCCGAGCAGTAGTAACATCTAGAAGTCTGCTGATTTTATTGGATGATCCATAGATGTGTGACTCCTCTTGCATGATAGTATGATGATAGATGGAATTACTGGTGTCAATTTCACTTTGCCTCAGATCTACAAGATCTTGTTGAAGTTCTCGGTGTACTGCTGCTCTCAGATTGCTCAATGACAATCCAAGGTTACACTCAACGGCTCCTTTAAAGGCAGATTCTTTGGCTAACTTATCAGCTCTATCATGCATTCGGAGGCCAACATGAGATGGAGACCACATGAAATGGACTCTGTTACCATCCTTAATAATTTTGTTGTATTTGAGTCTAGCTTCGGACACGAGCATGTTACAGTTATGTCTTAAAGAGTTGAGAGCATTTAAGGATGATAAGGAGTCACTTACAATTAATGTATCAAGTTTGGAGACTTGTACACATTTCAGTGCAAGGATCAAGGCAAATAGTTCGGTCTGAAGGGTAGAGGCCCAGTTGTTTATACGGACTCCCCACTCAAAGTATAAGCCATCACCCATTGTCAGGACAACTGCAGTTCCAGCTGCACCCGTGGTGCGGTGTAGGGAACCATCAGTGTATATGATTTGAGAGAGAGAATGCTCTGTGGACAGAGCATCAATATGGCTTAAGGCGTAATGAAACTTCTATAAGCAATTTTATTGCTGCTGCTGCTGCTGCTGCTAATATCAACTGGGAGACTGAATTAGGTAACATAGGGAACATCAACCTAGCTGTGCAAACATTTCTTCAGAAAACTCTCAGCCTTTATAACACCCACTGTCCTCTGCAAAGGAAACAATCACAACTAAAAGGTTAAATAATCCATGGATTTCAAAGGGGAACACTTACATCTATTAATAAAAAACATGACCTTAAGAAGAAGTATAGGTTAGGAGTTGTCTCCAAAGAAATTTCAAAGATTTACTCATCAGTACTGTCAAAAATAATTAGGAGAGCCAAAATAAAATACTGTGAAAATAAATTCACCCAAATACAGGGCAACATAATCATTGATAGGACCACAGACCCACAAAAAAACACGGAGCACAAACATGGAGCACTATTTCCCAAATATTAGGATAAAAAAATATTTTAAATAAAAAACCAATACTCCTCTCCAATAACGATGGTGGGCTTTCAGCCTCCGACACTGCTATTGAATTCAATAGGTTCTTCTCATAAATTGGGTCATCCCTTGCTAATGATATTCCATCTTCCCGTACTAATGTTATGGACTACCTTACAAGTATCTATCCAGAGTCTCTGCACCTATCTCCCACTAATTCCAATGATGTCAGGGAGATAGTCCTTTCCCTTAAAACAAAGTCTAGTGCCCTTGATGAGATACCAACTCTAATTTTCAAAAAAAAAATTCCAGATTTTTAGCTCCTGCCATTGCATTGCTCAACAATAAGTCACTTGAACTCCAAACCTTTCCAGATATTCTAAAAATAAAGCGAGAGTAACCTCAGTCCATAAATGTGTTGATCTCACTGATGTCAACAATTTCAGACCTATATCAATTCTGAAAAACTTGTCAAAAATATTTGAAAAACTAATCTACAAGGAGCTTTACTCTTATCTAGCCAAACACAATATACTTAGCTCCTGTCAATATGGCTTCAGACCCAAAAAAAAAGCACTAACGATGCACTTATTAGTATGATTAACTTGATACATGCAGCTTTTGATAAAAATGAGTTCCCTGTTGGGTTATTTGTGGACCTGCATAAGGCTTTTGACACTGTCAACCACCAAAACCTTCTTCTGAGTTCCATATTCATTGTTCTGAAGACTGCTCCATTGAAGCAGACCTTGGCTTTCCTCCCTGTGAGGTAGTCTTCAACCCATTTCATGAGTCTTCCCTTGACACCCATGCATGCAAGCTCGTCCAGGATCGCAATCCCCCTGCGCTTTGTCGAAGGCTCCTTTGATGCCGACAAATACAGAGAAACCTAGCCGTGTCATTAGCCAAGTAATTAACTATACAGTTTGCTGTGCTCCGTCCTTTAACAAATCCATTGACCCCTCCCCAAGCCTGCGTATTTTGTGCAACAGTCGGTTTAGGATGATCCTTTCAAGCATCTTGCAAGTGCATGACACGAGACTGATAGGTCTGTAATTGCCAGGGTCATTAGGATTCGGCATGTGAACAATTATTGCGTGTTTCCATTGTGTGGGCAACACTCCACTTAGGAATGACTTGGTAAACAGGTGGAGTAGTGGATTCCCAGGCACTTCACACAGTGCATTGAGTATGTTGTAGGCGATGCCATCTTCACCAGGTGCTGTACTTTTACCCTTTTTCATAGCGCCCCTTACTTCCTGAGCTGTGATCGGTTCCCCATATTCGTCATCATTAGACAGTGCTCTTGTTATCCTAATTTTTCTGTTATCATGTCGCAGGAGCTGTTCCCTGCTGATTTCTGCAGGGAGGGAGGAGGAGGATGCTGCATCACTCCACTTGTGAATTAGTTTTTCAGCCTTACCCTGGGGGTCTTTGTGAGCAGCAGGCTGGGCTCTGCCCCCCCTCCCTTTAGCTATCTGAATTTTTACCCACACTTGTCTTGCAGATGTTTCCCGTCCAATAGAGCTAGTGAACTCAAGCCATTGTTTTTCCCGTTCTTTACTCTTCTCTTCCCTGGCTACTTGACACACACTTTTAAACAACTCTTGGTTACTTTCAGTGGGATGTCTCCGGTACTCTCTACTCATGTCTCTTACATTTGCGTTAAGCATCTTTATGTAATCGCTCTCATACCATTTTATTTTCTTTCTCTGAGGGTTACTTCGCCCAGTCGTACGGCGCGGAACTCTGAGACAGCTCTCAATTTGGTGATTAAGGTCATCAACAAATGAATCAATGTCTTCTGGGATTTGGTATTCCGTGAACCAGTCACTCATGCTGTTGAACTCTCCGATCACTGATAGGATTTTATCCGAAGGGGAACCCTCTTGACAACTTGGGTACTGGCTTACTTGGGTAATGTAATTTCTACAACCAATGGAACCTGGGCAAAGCAGCGGTAAACAAGTGACGCTCATATTTTATTTACAATCTAGAAATGTCAGTTTGACACAACACTGATTGTGAATTCAAAGAGAAGACAATTTAAGACGTGCTGTGCAAAGTAAGGAGTAAATTACAAAACATCTGAGAGAAGCACCGTGCTACCTTTACGAAGAAAGGCAGCCTAGCACAACACACCTTCCCATGGATCAACAAATGGAACTAGTAAGGAAGAAATACAGAGAACAGACAACGAAAAAGCAGGTAAGTAATTATTAAAATAATTAATTAGGTAACAAGCCGAGAAGACTAGCAACAAAAGAGGAAGGACAAGTACGTTGGCATTATACGACTGATAGACAAAGAATGTCATGGTATCCAAAGTTGAGAATCATCAGGGAGATGTCAGTGAGTGAGAAAGTATTGCGCCACAACAGGAGTATGAACACAGCACATGATAAGAACGCACATTAAATACTCAACGATAGGTTCTAGGAAGTTTATAATCTGGAACCACAGAGCCAATATATAAAAAATAACCGACACTAATAATTAAAAACTAACCCAAAAATGTGGAAAATAGAAAAACATCTCAGCAACAGCTTTAGTTTCCCACGTGGACAGATATGCACTCAGACCTGACTGCACGTGTACAGGTATATATATATATGTCTGACTTACTGATAAGTCACAGCCAGAGGAGACCTCTGCACCAGTGCGTGCAAGATTTCTTAGGCTACCTTCCCTACTCGCACTTATTTTCATTACCACTTTTCCTTAGCATACTTACATTAAAGCAAAAAAAAGAACAGTAAAATATATATAAATTATAAATAATTCTATAAATAGAGTAGAGGCGCTGAAGAGAGCTGCAGAAGGTGTTCCCGAGAGCAACATGAGGCTCCTAGCGGGTGTCATCAGCGTGGTGGTGTTGGCCTCCCTCGCACGTGAGTATTGTCACCACATATTATATGTATATGCTGCCACATCATGTAGCTCTCACTGCATAGTTTGTCACCCCAGTATAACAAGCAATTGTTATACAATGCCACACAATTATACATCTCATCCAGTTTAGAATTAGATCTACATTCCCAACTAGATAGCGAGAGATCTTATACAATTGTATCATGCAAAATAAGTTTTATACCAACTCAACAATTTAAATTAACTAAATTTATTCAGCAAAATTTTTTACATTTAGGAGTGATTGTAATGAAATCTAAAGCAACAATTAGAATGATGAGATTTAACGATGTAATTTAAATTTAATATGCCACTGACTGACTTACAATACCATTGACAAAAAATACTACTGACGTACAGTATCACTGACTTACAATACCACTGACTTACAATACCATTGACTGACTTATAATTCGACTGACTGACTTACAATACCACTGATTTAAAATATCACTGACTTGCAATACCACCGATTGACTTACTGACTAATATTTACTAACTTACAGTACCACTGAATAATAATACTTCTAACAATACCACTAACTTAAAGTACCACTGAATAATAATACTTCTAACAATACCACTAACTTACAATACCACTACCTTAAAATACCACAAACTTACAATACAACTGACACAATACCATTGACTTATAACATCACTGACTTGCAATACCCCTGATTTACAACTTACAGAACCACTGACTCATTTACAATACAACTTACTAATTTACAATGCAAAACTCTTTACGTACAATACCACTAACTTGGAATACTACTGTCTAACAATACCACCGACTTACAATATCACTGACTAACAATACCACTGACTGACTTAAAATACCACTGATTTACAATACCATTAAGTACTATCAATTAACAAGTTACCAATGCAGCGGTGGCTGTCTGCACGCAACTCTCAATTATCTAATCCGTCTTCCGAACAAGTCCATTCCATCCAGCGGTCGACCGCACAGATGCATTCATAAATTTTAACATGCAGGTCATTCAAAACAGAAATTTTCTCAAATATAAATTAATATTATAATATATTAGCATATTGTGCATATATATAGGCATAGGTTAAGTATGGTTAGGTGTTTAGGTTCTGCTGGCGATTATTTGTATTTGTAGTACGTGGGTGAAGCATTTATAGCGTTGTGGTTCGAACAAAAGTTGTCAGCGAAGCACTTGTTCCGGAAGTGTTCGGACGTTATCCAGCCCGTCCTCCAAACAAAGACCCAAAAGTGATTCCATGCACCCGCCAAACCCCCCTGTTTATGATTGAAAAACGGTTTACACACGACTCATAACTGATTTCGTCCGAACACTTCCGGAACAAGTGCTTCACTGACAACTTTTGTTCGAACCACAGCGCTGTAAATGCTTCACCCACGTATAATAAATCAGCCCGTCCTCCAAACAAAGATCCAAAAGTGATTCCATCCACCCGCCAAACCCCCTGTTTATGAATGAAAAGCGGTTTTCACACAACCCGTTTTCGACTCAAGTCCATTACATCCAGCGGTCGACCCCACAGACGTATTCATAAATTTTAACTTGCTGTTCATTCAAAACGGGAATTTTCTCAAGTATAAATTAATATTATAATATATTAGCATATTGTGCATATATAGGCATAGGATAGGTTAGGTTAGGTGTTTAGGTTCTGTTGGCGATTATTTGTATTTGTAGTACGTGGGTGAAGCATTTATAGCGTTGTGATTCGAACAAAATTCGTCAGTGAAGCACTTGTTCCGGATATGTTCGAACTTCAGCAGTTGTGAGTCGTGTGTAAATCGCTTTTCATTCATAAACAGGGGGTTTGGCGGGTGCATGGAATCACTTTTGGCCTTTGTTTATGAGGACGAGCTGCAATAATCTTATAACAAACAATACTTTATTATTTGCCTCGTAAGAAAACAAATAATATGAAGATTAATTGTTAAAAAATATATATTTATTTATTTATGTATACGAAAGTTCTTATATTCTTGCAAGAATATAGTTTGCTGTATTTGACATTCTTCTGTTAAGTACTAAAACTCAGTACAGGTATATAAAACCTAACTGCTGTCAGGCCCCTACAAGACTTAATTGTCTTTAATGTGAGAATCATTTAAGATTAACGAGAGCAAATTCTTGGCCATGTAATGGTGTCAGACGGCGCTCATGAGTGCGAGAGAGAGTGCGTGGCCGGCGACACCCGCACCTGCCGCTACACCTTCCACCTCCAGGAGTACCACACCATGAGTCGCGCCTGCTTCGACTGCCCCCACAACCTCACTGACTGCTCCCGTCCCGAGTGTGTGGCCGGCGACGGAGTGGCCAGACCGCTAGTTGCTATCAACCGTCAACTGCCTGGACCCAGCGTACAGGTCAGTGCATGGTTCTGTCATCAGGTCATTAGTGCTGTCATCAGGTCATTAGTAGTGCTGTCACCAGGTCAGTAGTGCTGTCACCAGGTCAGTGGTGCTGTCACCAGGTCAGTGGTGCTGTCACCAGGTCAGTGGTGCTGTCATCACGCCAGGAGTGTTGTCACCAGGTCAGTGGTGTTGTCACCAGGTCAGTGGTGTTGTCACCAGGTCAGTGGTGCTGTCATCACGCCAGGAGTGTTGTCACCAGGTCAGTAGTGCTGTCACCAGGTCAGTGGTGCTGTCACCAGGTCAGTGGTGCTGTCATCACGCCAGGAGTGTTGTCACCACGCCAGGAGTGTTGTCACCAGGTCAGTGGTGCTGTCATCAGGTCAGTAGGGCTACCATCAGGTTAGTTGTGCTGCCATCAGGTCAGTAGTGTTGTCATCAGGTCAGTAGTGCCTGATTACATAAACTATTTTAAGTAATAAAAACAATAATTTCACAAGTTGTTTTCCTTGTAAATTGTAGAATTACATTTGAAAATACAACAAACTTAATTATTTTTAGCAAATGAACGATATTTGTTTTAATAACTACATTACATTTATCACATCATATAACCATTATTTTCTTTGTGTTAATACCATTTACGTTCATTTTTGCCAGATTAATTCGTGAAAAATTGTCACGAGAGTCTAGGGCATATGTAACCAGTCAGTTAATTAATACAATTAATCTCTACAGAAGATTGTGGCTAGCAAGCCAACATTAACTGTATATAGTTAAATTTCTTATACAAATTACAAGTTATTACAAGTACCTACAAGTGTATATATTATATATAACAAAAACTATAAAAATCCAAAAAACATAGCACTATATGTATACCAATATCTGCACTTCATTTACACTATTTTATGCCATTCCACAGAGGTAGGATATCTTTAGACTGGAATTGTACTTAGGTGTGTATAACTCTAGCCTAAACTAATTTAGCTACATTATTAAGTAGTTTAATTTCTAACTAGTACTGTGTTAGACAGTACTGGTGTATTACTATTTAATGTTGTGCAAACCCTAAACAGGATGAATTATTATTTTACACAAACTGTGTATCTGTTTCATAATATTTCTTATTGTATTCACCTTTGAGTGCTACTAGGTGTCACTATACCGACTGATGGTGATATGGAAGAGCTAACCGGATGTACAACCGCAGTAACATTTAAGTATCACTCAAATCTTAGCTATTTACTATTATGTAGGTAAGCAAACCTCAATACGAGATAAGATTAAAATCAGCCTAACTAAGAAATTAAATAGTAGGCTATTAATAACCATATCTGCTCCACATATATGAGCAAGTACCATAGCTGTCAATAATTAGCTATATAAGCCCTATAAGGCTCAAACCCATAGCCAACATGGCTACCCCAGACTAGAAGAATCTTGAAAGGCTACTCAACAAATGTGACAACTGGTTAGAAACAGATCCAGTTGACATAATCAGGCTAGGAATTTCCACAAAAGTGGCTAGACAAAAATTTTACCTAGTAAAGGGTATAATCAAGTCTTATAGATATATGATCCTTGTCAGTAATACTGACCCAGACGAAATAAGTCTAATTGAATCTGGCCTTGCCAACTATGAAGACAAAATACAGGCCAAGTTAGATCATTATTACAAAGTGCTTGCAACAGAAAATGTTCCTGTTGGGTTGGAACACTTTTATAGTCTTCCTATACCAAAGCAAGCACCCAGCTCAGATGAAATAAATGAGCTAAATCAAGATGATACTCCTCTAATTAAATTAGATCCTTACACTGGATCAATAATTGTAGTTAAACTTTCATTTTCTACAGTCTCATCTAATACCACTTCACGTAATGTTACATTAACAGAATCAGAACAGCTTTCAGAAAGCTCATATTCCATGGGTTCTGTGAATTCAATTCATGAAGCTACTGAATTAACAAGCCTCCCAGAGAAACAAATGAAGTTGCAATTGAAGATGAAGATGCAGCTGAAGCTGAATTAGTAGCTGAAGCTGAATTAGTAGCTGAAGCTGAATTAGTTGCTGAAGTTGAATTAAAAACTGAAGCTGTATTAAAACCTGAAGCTGAAATTGAAACTGAGGCTAAGCAAGATGCCTTAAGCCAAATTACTGATAGTCCTAATAATAAAGAAAACGCTATCATAAATCACGTTCACCAACTACTGGACCTAACTCAACCAGATCAATCGGTTGACTCCTTGCAAACATTTATTTTAAATCTCGAGTCACTGTTAAAATCCTTCAGCAGTGAAGTGGATCAACCCACTGCTGAGTGGATGACTAAAATTGTCATCCAAAGAAAATTGTCTAGAGAGGTGCTAAATGAATTATATTCATATCAAAATAATACTGTCCTGACAATGAAGAATATATTAGCATTTTTGCGTAATGTAGTAAATAATAAACAAGCAAACCAGGCACTTAATGCCTATATTGAATAAACAGAAAATGTACCCACATCAAATTCTCTAATCAAAACCTCTAAAGTGACAGTCATTAGGTCTTAGTCTATTCTTTCAAGTATTTTGCAGGGGATGCTTGTCAGTGAAATGGGTCTATAGTTAAGGGCCTCCTCACTATCTTCTTTCTTGAAAATAGGTACATTTGCCTTCTTCCAGCAACTGGGCAATTCTCCTGATATAAGTGACTCATTAAAGATCATTGCCAGAGACACGCTGAGGGCCTGCACTGCCTCGTTTAGTATCCACGGTGATACTTTGTCTGGTCCAACCACTTTAGTTGCATCCAGGGTTGTTAACTGTTTCATTACCTCCTCTGCTGTCACTTCTATATCTGAGTCTTTCATCTAGGGTAAACTCTTCTAACAATGGGAGCTGCTCATGCTCGGTTGTGAACACTCCATGGAAACTGGCATTCAGTGCCTCGCAGATTTCCTTGTCATTTTCAGTATATGCCCCTTCTGTTTTCCTTAGTCTTGTCACGTGGTCGTTCACCGACATCTTTCTTCTTATATGGCTATGTAGTAATTTAGGTTGCTTTTTCGCTTTGATTGCAATATCATTCTCATAATTTTTTACCGATACTCTTCTTATGTTAATGTAATCGTTCCTAGTTCTGTTACATCTAATCGTGTTGTCCTCTGTCCTTTGTCTTCTGTACTTCCTCCACTCCCTTCTACTTCTCATTTTTGCTTTCTGACACTGTCTATTAAACCATGGGTTATTATATTCTGATGCTGCACCCTTGTCTGCACCATAATAAAACTTATATTATTATGTCAGACAACCTTAGCCAACAGGGGCTCCAATTACCATAGCTGACTGTGCGTGTGTGTGTGTGTTTCTGGCAAGTCCAGAGACGCGAGTTAGATCCCACTGCATTGTATCATAATATGTTTTAAAGTGACAGGTGTGTGTGTTGTGTTGGTCAGGTGTGCGAGGGCGACCGGGTTGTGGTGGACGTGTACAACTGGCTGCTGTCGGACACGGAGACTATTCACTGGCACGGTCAACACATGCAAGACTTCCAGTACTACGACGGTGTCCCATTCCTCACCCAGTGCCCGATCTTAGGTGGCTCCTTCCGCTATAACTTCCTCGCTACCACCACTGGCACTCACTGGTGGCACTCTCACTCAGGTATGCTGGCAGCCAACACGCACAAGGAAAACGGCACTTGAGAAACATGCTGGGGCTCGCATATGATGTTCCTGCACCATAGACACTTGCTTGAGGTCACACATGACGTTACCTCCATCCTAGATACTTGCTATGGCTCACACTTGACGTTATCTGCACCAAAGATACTTGCTTAAGCTCACACATGACTTTACCTGCATCCTAGATTCTTGCTAGGGTTCACAAATAACGTTACCTGCACCTTAGTTACTTGTTCAAGCACTCACGTGCTTAACCTAACGTCACCCTAGCCTAGCTTAAACTAACCACCCTAGCCTAGCTTAACATTACGTCACCCTAGCTTAACAACATCACCCCTAGCCTAGCTTAACATAACGTCACCCTAGTCTAGCTTAACAAAACGTCACCCTAGTTTTACAACATCACCCCTAGCCCAGCTTAACCTAACGTCACCCTAGCCTAGCTTAACATAACGTCACCTAGTTTAGCTTAACATAATATGACTCTAGCGTAACTTAACCTAAAGGCATCCTAGCCTAGCTTAACCTAACCACCCTAGCCTAGCTTAACATTACGTCACCCTAGCTTAACAACATCACCCCCTAGCCTAACTTAACATAACGTCACCCTAGCCTAACAAAACGTCACCCCTAGCTTAGCTTAAAATAACGTCACGCTAGCCTAGCTTAACTTACAATAACCTAAAGTCACCCTAGCCTAGTTTAATATCATATGACCCTAGCATAACTTAACCTAACGTCACCCTAGCCTAGCTTAACATAATATGACCCTAGCCTAGCTTAACCTAACGTCACCCTAGCCTAGCTTAACATAACGTCACCATGGCTTAACCCTTCCCAAACTTTACCTAACCTAACGTACTGAACTTCATGAGTACATTCGCCACAAAAACAGCGTTAAGACACATCAAAATGTGCTTGCACAGTTTATAATTACAATGTGGCACATTTACCGCCATATACGTCACTGCACCTGCATTATTGGCACGATATTGTATTTCATATTATGTCACAAGTACAGCTGTCCTAGTGGGACTTGAGCGGCGAGTGAGACGCAATCAATCAGATAATTCTCAAATAGATGAATGAGCTCTCATCGGTAGGTCTGAACCATACATAATGCCCAATACCCACACATACAGTCCCAGTGTCTCCCTCTCAGGACTTCACCGAGGGAGTGGAGTGTTCGGCCCCTTCGTGGTGCGAGAGGCAGAGGATCAACAGGCCTCAACTTACGACGTAGATTCCCCCGAACACGTCCTTATGATGTTCGACTGGATCCATAGCTCCGTCACCGACAAGTTTTTTGGTCGCATCCATTACACTGGGGACGAATTCGCCTCAAACATCCTCGTCAACGCCAAGGGCAGGACATCTGCCACCATGGTAAAGAGTGAAAAAAGGGGGTCTCATGCCTTTACCAGAAGGCCATTATCTCTTTAAGTGGCCTAAACTGGGACAGGAGACGGCCGGCTTTTCGATGGTCATCTCCATTGCTTCTGAGGATTTTTTCCAACTTAATTATGAATGTAGTAATGTCTTACCGTGCAAGACCTAGGCGGGTACAACAGACACAGCCCCGCTCCTGTGTCAGGCAAGTCCACTACGGGACTGTTCTGAGTAGCTGAATCTAAAACAACAACAATTCGGCGGGTAGGTGGTACATGGGTTTATAATCCTATGGGTGAAAGGGGATCTCCTGTTTTCTGTCCTACAGTATGGCTTGTTGAGTTAAAAGCTGTTGCCCCTTTTAAAGAAGTGGTCTGGATAAATATCCTCCAACTTGTTCAGTATGTTCAAGGTCTCAATGAGATCATCCCCATCATGTTTAGTTTGTCATATTCATATTCTTTTCCAGTTAGGACAACCTAAATTTGACACCCTAGAATTGACCATAGAATTTTAGAATTTTATTAGCCATAGACTCTCTTTGTTTATGGCCAATAAAATTTACTGTTTAATAGTAATGTTAATTACAGATACAAAGAGAAAACACACACTGTAATATAGTCAACGAGAAAATCAGCTGGAGCTCCGAGGTGACTCAAACCTCAGTTCGAGTCACCTCAGAGCTCCTGCTGATTTAACAGTAACGTTAATGTTATATGTGTTGCCAATGGTGATTATTACTTTCTATTAAATATTTAATACTCGTTTGAAGCCTAAAGAAGCAAGTTGTAATATTTAACTAAAGTTTACCAGAATCTCCAAATAATTGTTCTTCATTAATTTAATATCTTCTTAACAGTAAGTATATTATTTTTTTCTTTGGAGCAGAAACACCTTTGCTGGGTGAAGACAACGTTACTTCCTGGTAACCAGCTTCCTCAACAGAAACACGAACAGAAGCTCACACTAAACATTGTAACTGTAAACACTAATCGTGACCAGGATGTGGGCTTAAAGAACGTGATTATTTCATGTGTGTTTCTATTGCCTAAGTCGGTGCCCCTCAACGACACGTTGAGTAAAGGTATCCTGCATTACACAAGGAGTTTGTATTCCCTTGTGTTCACACTTGTGGCATGAACAAATTAGTTTCACATTTAGACATTGAGACCCAGTTAACCATCAGTGTTCATTGACACCCTCTGCGTTCCTCTGCAGACGCCGCTGGAGGTGGTGCGTGTGACCCCTGGCTTGCGTCACCGTCTGCGTCTCATCAACGCCGGGGGCCTCAACTGTCCAATAATTGTCTCGGTCGACGACCACAAACTTGTCGTCATCGCCACTGATGGCCAGCCCATTCTTCCTTACACGGCTGATTCTGTCGTCATGTACTCTGGTGAGTCCTGTTGTGCCGTCATGTACTCTGGTGAGTCCTGTTGTGCCATCATGTACACTGGCGAGTCCTGTTGTGTCGTCATGTACTCGGGTGAGTCCTGTTGTGCCATCATGTACTCTGGTGAGACCTGTTGTGCCGTCATGTACTCTGGCGAGTCCTGTTGTGCCGTCATGTACTCTGGTGAGTCCTGTTGTGCCATCATGTACTCTGGTGAGTCCTGTTGTGCCATCATGTACTCTGGTGAGTCCTGTTTTGTCATCATGTACTCTGGTGAGTCCTGTTGTGTCATCATGTACTCTGGTGAGTCCTGTTGTGTCGTCATATACTCTGGTGAGTCCTGTTGTGTCGTCATGTACTCTGGTGAGTCCTGTTGTGTCGTCATGTACTCTGGTGAGTCCTGTTGTGTCGTCATGTACTCTGGTGAGTCCTGTTGTGTCGTCATGTACTCTGGTGAGTCCTGTTGTGTCATCATATACTCTGATGACTACTGTTGTGTCTATTCTGTCGAGTCATTTTCTGCTGCATACTTATAAGTTTTTTATAAGTGCAAACAAATACCGCAGTGCCAATGTATTCACAGCTGTAGTGTTGACGAAATTATATTGTTTTATTTTGAACAATTTAACAACTTGTGCTATATTCACTGTGTTAACGCGAGACTAGAGGGTTCTCCTTAAAGATAACATTTGTTAATAGGCTATCACACCAAGAGACTGTGATAGGCCGTCTCTTGGTTGTCTCTTTCTTTGAGTAACCATACGTATACACCATCAAAGATGTCTTTAATCTCCGTTTCAGCGAATACAGGCAAAGTTCTAGTCAGTCCCAACAGTTCAGATGTCCTACTAGTTCTATGTAATTACTAAAAGATTTCTTAATATCAGGAATTTGGATAACTTGCATCAGGGTTTATACACTTATAAGTGTGCCCCATTTCTCGGTGCATAAACTCTGTATATTTAGTAAAGTCTTGGAGTTTGAATATGGCTATAGTATATTAATGCTGGTTGGTCACTAAGCTAGTGTCATGGCCTTAATAAGCCTCGTGCAGTTGATATGCTCTAAATCCAACATCAAATATACCTCACCTGGCTTCAAAAGAGATGTGAACACAACTGCCTTGAAGACTCATAGTGTAAGGTACAGTCTCACAGTATGTTACAGTTCCAAAGTGTAAATTATATTCAATATAATGCAGGCCATTGCTACACAGTGTAACTTACAGTCCCATAATATATGTTAGACCCACCGTGTAAATTACAGTCCGACATTGTAAGTTACAGTCCGACATTGTAAGTTACAGTTCCACCATGTAAGTTAGACTCGTAGTGTAAGTTACAGCACCCCCCCCCCCCACCCTCCTATATTTTGCCTGCACACTCTCTTACAGAATAATCTCAGAATTTAATATTAGTTGTGAACATTTGCGATAAACCTCGCTTCTCTGCGCCAAAACTAAGTGTATACTTTTGTAAATTCACCTGCGAGTTGCCCCCGACTAAGTAGAGAGTTCACTTCCCTACAATGTAGCAGTCCTGTAGCGTCGTAACCTACGCAGTCGGCACACACCCGAAAGATCCCGTGTGCGATTCCTGCAGCAGGACATATGCATTTGTGTATGTTTCATATCTTCTGAGGCCTCTCTTTATCCAGCAGTAAATAGATACTCTGGAGTTTATCAACTGTTGTGGGTTGTATCTTGGGGCAGGCGAGTCAACCTATGGGAGGCGCTCAGTTATCCTCACAGGGATGCTGTCCTCGACGATGGGAACTAAACCACAATAATAATTAAGGTGGCGTCCCACAGGAGAGAGGTTTGATGTGGTGTTGGCGGCCGACCAGCCCGTCGACAACTACTGGATCCGCTTCAACGGCCTCATCGACTGCCAGTAAGAATCACATTTATGTTGCGATGTCAGATACCTTCTAAATGACCACCACAGCGTCGTCGCGGACGCGACCGCTGATAACCGTGGTCAACATCAAACACTTCAAAAACCGTCCAAAAACACTTAGATTCATCTCCTTATATTCTTCCCGTTAGTTCTTCGCTCATTATTTCTCTCCTCTCCTCCCAGGGACACCTACATCACATTATGTGACCCCCAGACACACATACAGCACATTATGTGACCCCCAGACACACATACAGCACATTATGTGACCCCCAGACACACATACAGCACATTATGTGACCCCCAGACACACATACAGCACATTATGTGACCCCCAGACACACATACAGCACATTATGTGACCCCCAGACACACATACAGCACATTATGTGACCCCCAGACACACATACAGCACATTATGTGACCTCAGACATATTTATTGACCGAAAGAATCCCCCAAAATACTATTCATGAGAAATAGTTCCTAAACTGCCACCTTGAAAACAATGGTGAACATTTCTATGATACATAATATTAATTTAAGGCATATTTATACACATAAACATACACATTCAGAAATTAAAAAAGCGTGAGTTTAAAATAATTTAAATCTTTAAAAAGTACCGCTTCCATTAAAAATGTATCGTATATGAACATTTTAAAATATTTAGATCTTAAAAAGTACACTTTCTATCCAAAAAGTATCATATATACTAAAGTCCTGTACATTGTTCAGGACTAAAGTAAACTTTCAGCATAAATACACAGAGGCTGGGTACGTCTCTCGGTGTACAGTGCATGTCGAAGTGTATACGTGCATCGCATACACAGTGGGAACAATGTTTAGATTAAAATATAATATAATTTGTTCATTAATGCTGCTAGTACATGAGTGCAAGTGCATATTCGCGTGCACTGTGCACGAGTGTGTAAACACGTAAGTACACTTTTGCGTGCACTGTGCACGAGTGTATGTGTGTGTGCGAACAAATATATTTGCGTGCGACAAAGCCTGGTGCTTGTCCAGCTGTTGTCTTGTGAGTGATCGTCATCTTGGCCACCAGGCCGAACGAGTGCATGCAGGGAGCGGTGCTCCGGTACGAGGGCGCCCCGGAGGAGGACCCGGCCGCCATCCTGGCCTACGACCCCAACTACCCGCCAGGAGTCGTGAGTCTGTCATTCTTCAGTATTTCTCTAACACTCTACAGGCGACCTTAACCGCCCTGATGTCTCACTAACAATTCCCCTGACTTGAGTCGACACATCTCATAATGCCTATTATATATTTATATATTTTCATGGTTTTATTTGTAATGATTAAACGCAATTTAGACATTGGCTCAGATATCATGGTTTACTTCTGGTACCCCTCCCCCCCCTGCTGCTTACCTTCCCTCTAGCTTTATACTGACTGCCTCTCCCACTCCTGCTTGTCATGCCTTGATAAGGGTCCAGGACGGATCCAAAAGTCGTCACTTTCATTAATATACCACATTATTCACTGATGGGAAAATGAACAGAAATTCTTAATTTGGCCATAGCACCACAAAACACGTAACTTCAGTACAATCTTCCTCCCTTCCTTCCGTCCCCTTCTTCTGAAGGCTGCCCCATACTTTGAAACGAATTCAAAACAAACGGATAACTATTTTAGTGTATGTGGTGTAGAAGGAATGTGATGAAGAGTAGGGAAGGTGGGGAAGGAGAGGGAGTATCTCTCTCCTCCTCCATCTCCTTCCCTTTCTCCCTTCCCCCCTCTCCCACCTTCTCTCTCAATCATGATGACAAATTAATATTATGAGGTGTTGAAAACTGCTAAACATTCATCAAGAAACGAATCCCAGATTTCAGACGTTATAAAAATTGCAGAGGTCGCTATAGTAGATGATGTTGCTTTAAGAGTCATGCTTTGTCATGGGTTCGTATCCTGGCCGGGGAGGATTTACTGGGTGCAAATCCTTAACTGTAGCCTCTGTTTAACTCAACAGTAAAATGGGTACTTGGTTGTAAAAACGATTCTTCGTGGGGGTCGTATTTCGGGGACCTGCCCGAAACGCTACGCGTACTAGTGGTTGTACAAGAATGTAACAACCCTTGTATATATCTAAAAAAAAAAAAGAGTGGCACTAGAGCCAACCCCAGCTCCCCTACCCCTCACGTGTCATCTTGAAAAGTTGGTGAGGCTACTAGCCTCCATGTTCGCTGAATTGATGAAATAACTGTGCCAAGATTATTGCCGGATGTATGTGTCTCTTACAACCTTCCAAGATTGTTAAGACAATCACTGATGTTGTGATAACAGTACTAGAGAGCCAGTGAGATGACCCTGGTCACTCAACGTCACACCAGTGAAGAGTTACCTGTAAACAATAGTGCATATGTGTTCTGTTGAGGTGATTCCTATTCTATGGATAATGGTTGTCCAGTTTCACTTTATCTTGTCGAGACAAAAATCAACTTCTCAAGACAACTTCCTCACAAACGTTTATCAGCACAAAAAGTAGGACTTTTTCTACCAAACAATGAGTATGACTTCATGTGATGATGCACGGGTGGATGCCTGGCCTGAAGTATGCAGTACAGTATGTATATGGAGGAGTAACAATCCATGTTACTCCTCCAAACTTTAAATGACTTCTTGCCGAATTAAAAGATATCAGCAGTATTTCGCATTGACAACTGTCACACAGACCTTAACTCTTGTCACACTGCAGAGGACACCTCTGATTTTCTGCCAGTCACAAGCATTTCCTTGACATTGATTAGTTCTGTTTAATAGTGGGTCGTCTGATTTTTCTGCATCAAACAGATTGCCTCTGCTCAAAACTTTGGCTCGGTTCTGCTTATGGAGGCTCAGATAGAATAAGATTTAAATGAGCGCAAAACATAGAGGGCGAACACACACACATTCGGTGACCTTAAACAAGTGACGTTCTGTACCATAATCACGGGTCACATGACCTATAAAGCATCGTCAACGGATATTGCGTTAGACCACAACAGAGCGTCATTTTGACCCTAAATATTACATTAAACATCAGTCTTCTTACATAAATTTGTATATTTCAGTACAAACATTGGCCTCAGTCCCTTGTGCTAGTGTATGTGCATAAGACTCGATGAAGACCGGTTTAGTCTATGACGGACTGTGGTATCCTAACAGTACACGGCAAGCGGTCTCCCATCATGGCCAGGGCTGCACTCACCATAATAACATACTATTTTTTTTGCCAAGGAAGTGTCTTTATAATTAGAATTATAATAATTAGAATTACAAAAAGGCACAATGGGTTTATGATATGGGAAAAACCTGCCGGGATTGATATGAGAGGAGAACTACCAGGGACATGTACTGAACTAAATTAAAAATTACTGTCTGCAAATTAATTCAACTAAAGTCTCTAGCTAGGGTCGTAAATCCTAGCCCCTCTTTTCCTAATGACAGATTGTTGGCTGTAAGGGGCAGGTGGGGTAAATGAATTAGTTGATTGAAGTTTCAGTCCACCTGCAGACAGGTATCTCACATTAACTTGTATTTTATACAAGGATAAGATTTTAATCAATTCAATTCTATGACTGAAGACTGGTTCTGTTTAAATCAGGGATTTAAACATATACATATTCCAGCCTAGAACCATAACTATCAACAGCCAATATATTCTTATACTATAAACAACAATTTAAATTGTAGAAGTATGATATTAAATGACCTTAAATGTAGTCCAAGTACTATTAAATAAGCACTAAAGATTATATTCAATTATATAAACTTATATGATAAATTAAAGATAACTAAGCAAGCAATTGTTAACTTAATTTATATATTCAAGTATATATATATAGATATATTCAATTTATATGAAGAGGTTCAGTCAGCCTGATTGAATCTTTTCCCACACAAGGGACACTCATGAGCTTTTCTATGCTTGGAAAAAGATTCAACAGCTGCACTACGATATTGATAAACTTACTGAAATATGAGGCGTTGCCTCACTCTATAACCGACAGACAGACTTATTAAATATATTAAAGTAATACAAGCATACAATTGGCGGCCAATTAATATACTAAATAACATTCAATGTACTTCTCTGATTGCCGGGTGCCTGTTTGACAGTGTGCCAGACTGGATAACTCTCTCTTGTTGAGTTTAGGCACGATATTTTATATAACAGCTTTGCTGTAAATGATCTAGTAGCATTGCTACGTGATTGTCCTTAATTGCGTTTGCAGTAGGATGATGATGGTTTAGGTGGAGACAGTGTCACTTTGTGTGCTCCACTCTACACTTATATAGGAATTTTTCCTTGTAGATATATTGTCCAGGTACACCCCCAGTTCTAGAGAGTAATCACTGGTGATAAAGATAATTCGATAAGGTGTTCTGAGTCGATTAATGTTCTCTAAGGCACGCGACACTTGTTCACTGTTTGTAAACACACGCGTTCTCGCCCTCGGGGTGTGGTGGGCGCTTCTCTCCCAGCCATCGCCCCCCCCCCCACCCCATGCTCCCTGAGCACGGTAGCCTTCTATGAATATTGATTGATTATTTTTAATGTCTAGACATATGATTGAGATAAGATGTGATTATAATATAATTAGATATAGGATATAAAGATTATAAGTAGTAGTTGATAGTACCACTGATTCTTATTAAGGATTTCATTTAATCCTTACCGGAAATTGATTCTATGTTCCAATAGTTTTTTAATTAAGAAATCCTTCTAGAAGCTTCTGGATCCTTGAGAAATCATGCACAAAGTCATGTAGGCAACCAAGGGCCCTATGGTCTACGTGATCATAGGCATTGTCATCTAGGATCAAGATGTATAATGAAGCTATAGTGATTCTGATATGATTTTGATATGATATAGAAATAATACATTTCTTAGATAATAATATAGATATAGTGGGTAAAAATTTCCCACATATGAGATTACATAAGATTGGTATTTTTACATTCTCAAAAAGCCGCTAACAAGCATAGCATTTCGGGCAGGTCCTTAATTTAACATGCTTTCTACCTGAATCTAATATCTTTCAATATTATTACATCCCAAACGGGTGAACTCTTAAATTCTTGTGTGACCAAAGTAGGGAACCTTCTCAACTCTGTAATACCCTAAGGTAATGATCTCATCTGTGCTGTCCTCAGGTGGTGAATCCCCTCAATACAGCCGGAGTCCCCTTAGAAGAGGTTACCATGGCTGAACTTACCTCCCTCGTCCCCAGCACCTTAGAGGAACACGTCGACAAGCAGTTTTTTCTTGGCTTTAACTTCAACCAGATCGACAACCTTTTGATGTATAACCCTGAGTTATACTCCTACTTCGAAGGTGAGTTCGAGGAGCCACTTCAGCACCTCAGAAGATAGAACACAGATGATAGGCTCCCAGATGCCTTAAATCCCATGGTTATCATGCTGTACTGTTATTGGAGGCTGGAGCTCACCTCAGCCTATAGAAGCCCACCTAGCAAAGGGCGAGGCTGTCCTCAGTCACTCAACCAGTTACTGGCCAAATCCAGCAGTGCTTAACAGACTACGCCTTGCTAGTAACATTTACGTTACTTTAATCGAAAACTGGGATTTGTAGGGGAAATGCACATATTGTTATCTCAAATACATTTTTTGTTTCTAAATCAAATACCCACATTTCATTATTAATGTAGATATATTTCCCATAACTTTGACCTCCCGTGATATTTTTTCAGAGTATTTAATAAAGTATAATGATACATTATGGCAAAACTTGGTTAACCTAGTCAATCAAGTTTTATAACGAAAACTTGGTTCCTGCAGTGTCTGCGGGATGGCAAGCAAACACCCCCCAGCTGAACAACATCAGCTTCAGGTTACCGCTCTCCCCTCCGCTCTCCCAGCCACAGGACCCTCAGCCCACCGTCTGCTTCTACGGCGAGGTGAGTCAACACTAATGCTTCCTATGCTTCAGCACCTCTTAATATGCTTCACCCGCTGATTCTATGTATAAATTGTGGTCAATGGAACTCAAACACTAATCTAACTACGCACAAAACTATATTATATGAAGTCATTAATTTGTATACAAAATTAATGGCTGCCTGTTTGGGGACGACCGCAGCAAGGCGGGAGGATGATTTGTGCCTTGCTAGGAATAACTATGCTTATTGGAGGGTTGTGGAAGGTCTTACAATTAATACGAATTAAGTAACATAATTTTTCACGTAACCAGGAGCCGCCTTGTATCGGAAACTACTGCAGCTGCACCTACGTGATGGAGGTGGCGTTAGGGGAGACAGTGGAGCTGGTGTTGGTGGATGAGGGCATCATTGGTGATGAGAACCATCCCTTCCACCTCCACGGTAACAACTTCCATGTGGTGGCTATGGACCGCCTCGGCAGGTCAGTTACACTCACACTTGTACCAACGTATTTAGTCCGACTCCCAGTATAACCATCTCCCAATACCTGGCCTCTACACCTACCACATCCTTGTTATACCACTACTGTAACCTTCCGCTTGGGCCCTTTCCATTAGCGGAACCTTCCACCAGTGCAGCCTTCCGCTAGTGTAACCTTCCGCTAGTGCAGCCTTCCACTAGTGTAACCTCTCATTGCCACTACCGACTAGGGCCTCCTCCCACTAGTGCCATCTCCTATTTTACAACCTCAACAAATATTAGTTGTCGATCAGTTGTAATACTTCGTTTTCATGTCATCCTCATATGTGCCTCCCAGATAAGTGCCACCTTCAAATAGTACCTCTTTCTAAATGTACCTCCTAATAAGAATGTTTTCATCACCTTCAACATCAAAATAACTTTCACAATTTGTATAAGTTTGTCAATGACATATACACGTTTTTAGTAATGCTCACATGCTCTTGAGAATTTGTTCAGTTTTCCATTAAGATATTTATGTTTTCTATGATGGAAAAGCACTATACATGATCATGTAGGCCCACAACGTATGGAGTAATATTTTCATCACATACCTCCTGCTCATCCTAGCCTTGGGCTTGATAATTACAGCCAGACAACAGTGGAAGAGGTCATGGCTCTAGACGCTGCTGGGGGCATCTCACGGAAGTTGACCAACGCCATCAAGAAGGACACGGTGACGATCCCTGACGGAGGCTACACCGTCGTCAGGTTCACTGCTAACAACCCTGGTGAGACACTCGCTTATTCTGCTTAACACCTCCTACTCATATTTACTTAAGACATGCCACGTTATGCTCCTAAACCTTAGTTACATAAATTTATGATTTGAGGTCCTCCTCAAGGTACAGTGATTACTAAGCGACACGAAACCCATTCTCACACGACCTGGACGCTTATTTTGATATTTTTGACGGTCTGAAATCATATTATTGTTCCAATAATAATCTACTTGTCAATTGGCAAGTGAACCTTTGTCCTAAATGGTGAAAAATTCTCAAGTTATAAGTTTATTGTATTATAAATCGTTGGTTCAAAATATTAAATGTCTATGCTTAAAAAATCGTTTTTTGTAACTGCTAAAGTATTAGATTTTCCTGTAAATTAAACTCAAAGGGGTACTTAAATAGTTTTGAATTTTGATATTTCATGTTTGAGATTAATACGCTGTGTTTACCTTACCTAACCTTACCTTACCCTACCCTACCTTTAACCTAACCTAACCTAACCATGGAGGTTACCTTACTTTGAGACCTTGAGGTGATTTCGGGACTCGGCGACCCCGCTGCTCGGTCGTCGACCAGGCCTCCTCGTTGCTGGACTGGTCAACCAGGTTGTTGAATGCGACTGCTCGCAGCCTGATGTATGAATCACAGCCTGGTTGATCAGGTATAGGGAGTAGATAATAGCAATAATTATGTAGTGGTTTTGAAGTGCTTACCTCCAATTATACCTCATCCTTGAGGACAGGTTGATGATTAAGAATTGTTTTGGTGTTTGGTTAATATTATTATTGCCGCGTCAAGGCTGCCATCTCTAGTGGCCTCGACGTGGATTGTAATAAGTCTTCATTTTTTAAGATTTTTCCCCAGGCGATTCCATAGATTTAAAACTCTATGGGTGAAATAGCATCGTCTGTTTTCTATCCTATTTTGTGGCTTGTTGAGTGTGAAGTCTTTGCTACTTGAATGTGCTGCATTATTTGATCTTAAAGAAGTGGTCTGGATTAATATAGTATAAATTGTTCAGTATTTTAAAGGTCTCAACAAGATCTACCCGCTTATGCCTGCCTTGCAGTGTTGTGCATGCCTCGACGCCTTTATTTTTTGTTTGTATAACTCCATTACTTTTGTCTTCCGCAGGCTGGTGGTTGATGCACTGTCATCTGGTGTTCCACGCAGAGCTTGGGATGATCGGCGTCCTGCATGTTGGGGATCCTTCTGACCTACCGCCTGTCCCTGAGGGCTTCCCCACCTGCAGCTCCTTCATGCCGGACCTCTAGGTACCTTCGTTCCTACATGACAGCAGCCCTGTTGGCCCTACTTGATGTACCAATAGGACACCTGTTCCTTTATGCGGGAGGCATGGCAGTTCCTACAGAAACTGCCGCTCCTCCCTTCTTGACCTATTGGACCTTCTGTCTCTCCGTGTCAAACCTGTAGGATCTTTACTGCCCTCCACACCTGACCTTTTGTTAGTTCCGTAGGATCTCCTCACTCTTCAAGCTAGACCTGCGGACTATCGCCTATCACTTCAGTACTGAAACTAAACATTGCACCTATATGCACTCCTCACCCCTTCCTCATGCCTGGAAGTTGACTCATGGAATTCAATATTCATAAAGAAATGTAAAGTACCAGTAGCGAGAGCACTCAGCGTAATATGGAGAAAGAGCCTGGATACAGGGGAGATAACAGCAGCACTTAAATCTGCAGATATAGCTCCGTTGCACAAGGGGGGGAGTAAAGCCTTGGCAAAAAATTATAGGCCAGTTGCACTAACATCACACATAATAAAAGTGTTTGAAAGAGTGATTAGGAATCAAATTTCTAGTTTTATGGAAAACAATGAATTGCACAATCCAGGACAACATGGATTTAGAGCGGGAAGATCCTGTCTGTCACAGTTACTCAACCACTATGACAAAATCACAGAAGCCCTAGAAGAAAAGCAAAATGCAGATGTTGTATACACAGACTTTGCAAAGGCGTTCGACAAATGTGACCATGGGGTGATAGCTCACAAAATGAGGTCAATGGGAATAACTGGAAAAGTAGGACGCTGGATACTCAATTTCCTGTCGAACAGAACACAAAGAGTAACAGTCAATCAGATAAAATCGAGTCCAAGCGATGTTAAAAGCTCTGTACCTCAAGGTACAGTCCTTGCACCGCTACTGTTCCTTATTCTCATATCTGATATAGACAAAAATACACGCCACAGCTTCGTGTCGTCCTTTGCAGATGACACAAAAATCAGCATGAAAATTACCTCTGCTGAAGACATTGAAAAACTACAAGCAGATGTCAACAAAGTTTTTGATTGGGCAGAAGAAAATAACATGATGTTTAACAGTGATAAATTTCAGGTACTCAGGTACGGCAAAAATGAGGATCTGAAACATAATACAGGGTACAAAACACAATCGAATCTTCCCATAGTAGAAAAACAGCATGTCAAGGATTTGGGAATAATGATGTCCGACGATCTAACGTTTAGGGAGCATAACCAAGCAAATATCGCGTCAGCCAGAAAAATGATCGGATGGATTACGAGAACTTTCAAATCCAGGGATCCCATCACAATGGTTGTACTCTTCAAGTCACTTGTGCTGTCCCGTCTCGAGTACTGCTCAGTACTCACTTCCCCCTTCAGAGCAGGAGAGATTGCTGAAATAGAGGGAATACAGAGAACGTATACGGCACGCATAGACGAGATAAAACACCTAAATTATTGGGATCGTCTCAAAGCTCTCCAAATGTACTCTCTAGAAAGGAGACGAGAGAGATACCAAATAATATACACATGGAAAATACTGGAGGGTCAGGTCCCAAATCTACACAGTAAAATAACAACGTACTGGAGTGAACGATATGGAAGAAAATGCAAGATTGAACCAGTGAAGAGCAGAGGTGCCATAGGCACAATCAGAGAACACTGTATAAACATCAGAGGTCCGCGGTTGTTCAACGTCCTCCCAGCGAGCATAAGAAATATTGCCGGAACAACCGTGGACATCTTCAAGAGAAAACTGGACGGTTTTCTAAGAGAAGTTCCGGATCAGCCGGGCTGTGGTGGGTACGTGGCCCTGCGGGCCGCTCCAAGCAACAGCCTGGTGGACCAAACTCTCACAAGTCGAGCCTGGCCTCGGGCCGGGCTTGGGGAGTAGAAGAACTCCCAGAACCCCATCAACCAGGCAACCAACCAGGTATCAACCAGGTATCAACCAGCCTTAACGGGCTATTCATGACCGTGCCACCTCTTTGGTGGCTTAATCTTCTTCAATCAATCATCAAACATGCCTGGCCCACTCCTAACCTTGCTCTCCCTCACGTCGTTCCTCACCCCTTCTCTCCCATTTCGGGCATCATCAACAGTCCCGCCACTTGTACTGTCGTGAGTCTGCAACAATTATAACCCTCGAGTCCACTACGGGTTCACAACAGCCCGTGCTACTTGGAACTTTTTTGTTCAGAGTAGCTGAATCTAAAACAACAACAACATTTATAATTAGATTTATCAGTCCATCTTCCTGATGCCAAAAGTTTGTGGTAAAACTTTGAGATCGGAGTAAGACTTCATAAATCTCGTTTCCATTCAACTCAATGTAGTATATGTACGTAGGATGAAATAAACAAGTTCATACATTGACAGTTTTATTAATTACTTCTCCGGCTACATAACAACCATATGAGAGTGCTGGTCACCCAAGTGAGCACTGCCTCACGGCCTGAGCACAAGGTGACTGTTACGAATCCATATATTTGATTCTAACATTTATCATGATAAATATGTATGTCCATTATTTCTTTCCTCAGTTATTTAAATAAAACATTGTATCCAGTTGTGTTCCAGTATATATATATGCTTGATTTAAATTGTAGCATGCTGTAGTGTGCCTGTATTTAATATTTTGTTAATGCTATTGCATGTTCATTCCTGTGAGGGAAGACTGTGGCGTCTCATGGGGGGATGACCATATTTGGGATGTTCCAGTAATGCGTGCAGTGTATCAACCCAGCGTTACTGATTCACCCCCTGTAATTATTCCTGTTTATTGATTGTACTTAATTTCTTATTTACACCTTAGCAGTGTTATAGGCATATAAGTTTAGTTATAATTATGTTCTTAAGTATTACTCTCTGATAGCAGAGTACCTAGAGGTTTCATGTGGGTTTTAGTTGGTAACTTGTAGACACCACGCTGTGCATGCTCCAGCAACACCAGTCGCGTGGGTGGAGCTGGCTGGCGTAGACATGTTGGAAGATAAGTCTGTGGTACCTGTTTATTGTTTAGTAACATAGCTAATTGCCTGGAAAGACCATTATGTGCATACCCATCTATCCATTTAAATTTTTAAAATAGTGATCAGTGCTTATATAATGATATTGTGTTATTGTATTCTGGCGCATTAATATTTCTGGCTGCCTTTATTTCCATTTATATGTTTGTATGTTCTTTGTTACCCTTACTTTAAGTATATCGCTTTGTTGAGTAAGCAGTTGAATTATTTAACCTAGACACTTAGTAGACAAGGCCGTATTATTATATATTTTTTACAACTGCAAAATCAGAGGAACCATACCCATAGGTCAAGGATCTTAACAGTGACCACAGGGACTCCACCACACTGGATGTTGTTTACATAATGTTCCGAGTACATCATAACATATCTAAAACGCATTAAGAGAGCTTAGTTTATATTCTCTAGAAAGGCGAAGAGTTAGGGGTAAGTAAGTAACTGTCAAAAGAAGGCATCAAGTCAAAAGGCGCTAAATATCACTAAGGATACTAATATTATGAGGATGCCAATATGAAAAATACATAAGGTGAACAACATCAAAGGTATCAGATTCACCAAGGATACTGTCGACGGACAAGTGACAGCGAGGGACAGTCGGGAAGCAAGACGGACTCACATCCTGAAAGTCAGGATATTCAACAAGAATATGCACGACCGTAAGAGGGACATACAATTCAGACAATAAGGAGCAGGGCAGCGCTTCAATAAGTGCCTGTGAGTTAAGCGGGTATGGCCAGTACGTAACCTCGCCAGAACAGTTTTCCACCGCCGGTTACAGAGGTAGGAGGAAGGGCACTGGGACACACACTACCCTTAAGAAGCACGCTGCTTGTTAAGAGTAACAGAAGTCAAACGACCCTGCCAGCGGGCAAGGATGGAGGAATGAATAACTGGGTAGAAGTCGGAATAAGGAATATTTTACAGGAGCTGGGACAGGTGCAGATAGCTTCCTTAGCAGCAGCGTCCGCACGCTCATTTAAGGAAACACCAATATGCCTGGGAACGCAGCAAAACTCTACTGTATTAAATCTGCTAGAGATAAGAAACAGCCAATGTTGAATTGCGACGACCATAGGATGGACAGAATTAAAGGACTCCAGAACCATGATGGCACTGCGAGAGTCAACTACAACAACAAAGGAAGAATTACGGCGAGAAAGCAGTTAACGAAGAGCAAACAATATTACATAACGTTCAGCCGTGAAGATGCTAGTCTCTGGAGGTAAACACACATAGCTGCAGTTAGGAAATACAACGGAGTAGCCTACACCGTCATCAGACTTAGACCCATCTGTGAAAACGGAGATGGAGCGGGAGCGGGAGTGTGAAGAAAAGAGAGCAAGGAACAGGCGTTTCAGAACTGTAGGAGGGGTAAAAAAGCCTTAGTCATGCAGGTCAAGGTTCAACAAAACTTAGGAAGAGGGATCCTCCATGGGGAGCAAGGACGGAATGACACGAGGAGAAACATTGGCAACACGAACCGAGAGAAAACCTTGCAAGTGGGACAATCGTACTGAAAGGGGAAGGCGGTGAAAGGGAACAGTGCCCCCAGGAGGGGTAATGGTCAAAGTATGACATAAGCGAGAGTGAAGGTGTTGAAGAGACCGCGCAAGGTAGCGAAGACAGTAGCGATTACGCGATCCTGTAGAGACAGGATGCCGGTCTCAACAAACAGGCTCTGGATAGGGGTCGAGCGAAAGACACCAGAGCTAAGACGGAGCCCAGTATGGTGAAGAGCATCAAGACGACGAAGGGTGGAGGGAGAGGCAGACGAGTAAGCAGGAGAGCCATAATTGGGTTTAGACAGCACGAGAGAGGAATGTAAAGAGAGGAGAGTGCGCCTATCAGCTCCCCAGGAAATATGTGATAAAACCTTAAGTAAGTTAAGGGCCTTAGAGCATTCGACTCGGAGGTAAGAGATATCGGGTGACCAGGATAAGCGAGTGTCAAAGATTAACCCCAGAACTTTAGCAGAA